GGACGAGGGGATCCATCCATATATTCTGGACACTTATCAACCACCTATAGAGGTATCGCCAAGCTTTATGCGATGGAAATTGTATATAGGAATTATATATGATTGTGGATTATATAATGCCATGTATGTTATAGGTAAGCGAATGGTACGGCTGCCGATACGACTGTCCAGCAAGATATCAATTGAGAGTTAAATTATTTCGTAATGACAATAAAATGATAGATGAATTTCTATTTAGAGATGTTCTAGAAGGAGAGAAACAGAATCAATGGCTGAAGGTGGGCATCCATAAAATTAGTTTACGGTTTTATATAAATGGAAACTCTTAAATACAGGATACTATCTTCAATTTATATTTTCTTATATGCTTTGTTGTGTACAGATTACACACGTATTTAAGAATTATGGACCTGGTCTTAGACGGATTACCTTCGAGCACAGTGGAAAGGATAGATCATTCTGGGCAGGACATTACGGCAGTAAAATGGCTGGGGCATGTGTTTGTGTGAAAAGTCCGTGAGAAAAAATTTAAAAATAAAAAAATTTATGTAATAAAAAGTCAGTTAATTCCAACGAAACAAAGAGAATGCAAAATGTTAAATGTATAAAGTTTTATATAAATAATGTAATAAAAGTTTAATATTACTATTTAATAAAAATTAATTCTGTAAAATTAATTTTTTATTATCAAAAGTGTAATTTGTTAAAAATTATTGATATACAGTATTGCATACATAATAAAAACTGATTTTTAATAAAATAAGAATTTATATAAAACAAGATATGCCTGTATTTTCTTTATACATAGAGTGTAATCGAAAAGCTATTTCGATTAGGTTTTGAGGCGTGGAGCCTTGGTGGCACACATATAACCCCTTCGGATGGAGACTCGTGTAGAGACGTCCGATTACCCAGAAAGCAGTATTTTCCCACTTGAATAATACACCGTATTCTTTAACAGCGAAACTACTATCAATCGCTGTTTTATCTATATCTTGATTTAACATCTTAAATCTAGAGTCCTATATAAATCTTACTGTATTATGTAGCAAGCATGTACACACTTTTTAAAGTTAACAAGAATTTTGTTATCTTTCGGTGTATTTTGAATGGGTAGGTACTGATGATAAAAGAATTCCTTCTACCATGTCCAAATAAACGTAATGATACAAATAATTTTTATCGCTTGCCGTTAGCTTTTGCGGTATCAAATATTCCGCTTGGTTTAATAAGTTATCTCGTATCTTGTATATATTCATTGTAATTATATGCGTTACTATCGCTCTATAAGAAAAAAAGTATCGGTAAATATATTAGTATTAAGTGTGTTGACAGATGATGGGACAGTTCAGTGCCACTCCTTCGAGTTCTCGCGTGATGTTCGACGAGGAGGACAACAACGGTTTGGTGCTCTGTGACAAGTACCTGCCGGTCGAAGTGCTGATAGAGATATTTTGCCACGTCGACTGCAAGACCCTGTTGAGGTGCCAGTTGGTGTGCAAACGCTGGAAGATGCTGATGAACCACGTCTGGCACAAGAAGACCGAATGGACGCTGGGCAAACCGTTCCCGTGGAACGATAAGATGCCCTGGACAGTATATTATCTCGCATGCACGAAGAAGCCGTACGAGAGGAACCTGGTGAAGAATCATTCCGGCGATGAAAAGTCTTTCCGTCACTGGGATATAAGTTACAACGGCGGTCATCGTTGGACGGTCGAAAAACCACCTGCCGGCATGCCGGAACTGCCGCAAACTGAACCGTTGTTCAAAGACAGACAGACCTGTTTCGCAACGTCTTATGAGCATTGTACCAAAGTACAAGTTATAATTCTGACGGACGAGGGGATCCATCCATATATTCTGGACACTTATCAACCACCTATAGAGGTATCGCCAAGCTTTATGCGATGGAAATTGTATATAGGAATTATATATGATTGTGGATTATATAATGCCATGTATGTTATAGGTAAGCGAATGGTACGGCTGCCGATACGACTGTCCAGCAAGATATCAATTGAGAGTTAAATTATTTCGTAATGACAATAAAATGATAGATGAATTTCTATTTAGAGATGTTCTAGAAGG